TATTCTGCATAAAACATATTTGCTTTTTGGACCCATTCTTTTTTGTAGCAAAACCACAATCCAAAGAATTTAGTTTTGTCTTTTGTTGCAGATAGCGGTTTTCACTTCGCCTACCCTGAGGCCAAGCAGCGCCGGGGAAATACAGAAGGTTGCTACCATTCGTGACTTTGACTATGATGCTGCCTTTGAAAGGTAAAATTTTTTTGGAAAATTGCCGTGTGTGGATTCAAAAGAGTGTGGATGTGAAACAATATTTTAAACCCATTAATCAGAATTTTTTTATTCGATTGCTTCCATTCATTAGAGTAAAAAAATTCTTCTCCGGTGATTCTCAGAGACAACTCACACCACATTTTTGGTTTTAGGTAAGATGGACTTTTGCTGTTAGGTAAAATGACAAGTGTTTTAACTAAAGTACGTTTTGGGAGTCAGGCGAATTCTTCCTGTTTTCAAGTGACCTAAATCCATATTTACCTAATCACCCTAGTTCACTTGAAAATGGGAGAAGTTCCTTGCCTCACAAAAAGTAAAAAAGTTAGCATAGGAAAAGTTAATTGTACCTAAACAGGATCATATTTAAAATCTATGAGGCCCCTGGCGGCTTATACCAGAGTGGCCCATGTATTCTGATTATTTGGTAGCTGGAGCTTACGGGGTGGCCCACTCCTTCAACTCGATGAACTTAAACCTTTGTTTTCCACGATTCGATCGGTGAATAGACCAAGAAAGCTTAAGAGTCTACTAGCTAATAAATAATTCCATTTTGATTTATTAGTAATCATACTATATGGATCTGCAGGACAGACTAGTTTACTTCGGGTTAGGTAAAAAATCTCAACCTTGATGTCTCGGGCCAAAACAGGTTGTTTTGGAAAGTTTGGATTAAACAAATTGTAATTGTTATAATATCATGGGCTTAAACGACTTCTGCAATCATGGCAAACTCGTGAACGCAAAAAAATGTTCTTGGTCATGACGAAATTGTGAGCATCTTTTACGTTCAACGCAAAATAGTCTCGCGTCATAGAAAAAAATCGCGAAAAATCTTTCGCGTTCATAGCAACAACACAAGTTACATTCTACATCTCCTGCAATCACGACAAAATAGTGAATTTCTTCGTGTCCCACAACCATGGTTAAGTTCTGATTTCCAATAGAGCAATCTTTGTAGACGATCGAGAGAATAAAACAATTAGGTACTCAATGTTTAAACCCCCTAAAAGAATGTTGGTAAAATTAATTTTTCATGTAAAAAAATGTCCTTTGAAGCTCTATATGAAGATCTCTCAGGCCAGGGTCCTTGTCAACCGCCATTTCTGCCGTTAAGGAAATACATACCTGTACCTAAAACTGAAATAGTTAAGCCTATCCTTCACAATTATGACTTAAAAACACAGGAGTCATACCACACTAAACACAAATTTTCACCTTGATGATTCCAGAACAATAAGTGTACCATTACCGAGACAGACTGTGAAGAACGGTACGTTATGCATGCACCTGTTTGTGCTACCGAGATACACTACGGTACGAGAGTGGAGTGACGCAAGTCAAGCCAAGGATAAAGTCTACACCCAGGCAATGCTGTCCCACTACCAAGTGCCTTCTAGTGCTACCTACCAGCTACTTAGTGGTTAGTATCTATGGTTGTGTTAAATGTCATATATAATGGCTAAGGTGTATTTTGTCAGACGGCAAAACTTGCTACATATGTTTTAGTGAATATGAGAACTCCGCCACCATCTGGCTAACAAATGGATTAACTCATGGTGTTGTCATAACTAAACACAGTTTTAACATAACACAAAAACAATCACAAACCTATCACAGGCCTGCTTTAAGGAAAGACAAGTGGTTGTTGATAGAAAAAATTTTTCCTTTTGTATGCCCATGTATTATAATTTTATGTTTTAAAGTAGCAGTGCACTTGTATCTACTGTCCTGCCCATAGATATTAATACATATGATTAATATAGTTTGTTATGCGTACTACCAACTTTTCTCATAAGAGTAACCATCCACAGGGGGTGTAGAGAAAAAACAGCTGAGGCCAGTGACTCACATCAAGAGCAGTATTGGGTTTAACATTCTGACTGGAATCACTGCTTTGCCTCAGATAGGTATACCTGCAGAGCTTCAACATCATTTGAGGTAAATTGTATGTCAACATATAGTATAAATTAATGTCAACATTAATTGTTTGAGGCAAATAGTATAAATGTCAACATCATTTGAGGTAAATAGTATGAATGTAAAAATCATTTGAGGTATATAGTATGAATGTCAACATTGATGTTCGAGACAAATATTATGAATGTCAACATTGATGTTTAAGGAAAATGGTATGAATGTCTACATTGTTTGAGGTAAATAGTATGAATTTCAGCATCATTTTATGTAAACAGTATGATTGACAAATGTCAACATAATTTGAGGTAAATAATATTAATGTCAACTTAGTTTTAAGAAGTAATTTTTTTTTTATATTGGAAAACATATTTTGGGAGAATTTTAATAACTAGTACCCTACCTTAAAATGTTTACAGTACCAAGTTTCATAACTAAATGACCAAAGGGCTTTGAGTTATTAAGTTACTCAGGCTATTTTTACAAAATTACAAAATGGAAATAAAAAATGTAACTGGACATTTTTGACCTATTTTGGTAGGTTTATAACCTGGTAGAACCCGCTATTTTTGTGACACCCTGCACGCCTATAAACACGCTAATAAACAGGCCTCTAACTATTGATAGGCTACGTAAACAACATAAAGCGTAAATAATTCATAATGGTTTGCTCAAAAAATGTTTCACTCAAATGTGTTAAAACTTACATAGCATGAACTAACATTTCGGAATCCAGACATAAAACCCAAAACTTTTATACAGTATGGTAAGACATCAATTAACATGCTATTCTTATGGAGAAGTTAACTGTTATAGTTTGCTTGTTTATGGATATATTTTGATCAAACTTGGTAAATTTATTTAATTTATACTAAGCTAATAATATTTAGCTAAAACACATTTTTTACCCTCCCTGTAGCAGCATTCCTAGGTACTTTTTAAACCTAATGTTTTTAAAATAGACTTGAGGACCCATGCTGCTCCGCAGCGCTAAAATGAATATAATATCCGAGAAATAATCAAATTTATGATTTTTCAATTGATAATGTAAACTCTTACCTTAGCGATCCTTATTGTGGTTGTCCGATATTAATTTCGGACCCTTTAGGTCCATCTTCAGTTGGAAGTTTAGGGAGACCAAATACTTATTATAAGATCCACCCGATGGGTTTTGTAGAAATGTTGACATTTAACACGATACACATTACAGTTTACATAAATAATATACAGAGGTTAGGGATAAACACCATGGTTTTATAAATGTGGGATAACCTCACTTCAGTCAGGGAACACGTTGCCTAAAGGTTCAACAGTTCTGATTTACAGGTTGTCAGAAGAAGGAGGTTTTTTGCCCATCATTCAGATTGATATTCTAAATGACCGATTGCGAAACCTTGTGGAAATACCAGAAAACTCAACAGTCGACATTAAGTTCTATTACGCTCCGATTTCAATAGGAAAATTAAGGTAAGCTTAGGAATGTTTTTCACAAGGTCCAAGTTGTTAAGTGATATTGAGACACACCTTAAGAATTAGGTTGATTACATTAGGTTTGGCATCTAAACATGTAAAGTGTATAAAGGGAATATAAAGGAAAAACACAAGACACATTAGAAAAGTCCAATTTAATAATAGTAACCTAAAGGAAGTTAAAAAATAGTACTGGTACTTGTTTTGCTATAATTTTACACTTTTAAACAATTGATTTAGTCCTGATTTATATTGTAACTGAACATACTCTTTACTATTATTTAAGCACTAAGCAGTTTAAAATTTGAATAGATATAAAGACTACACCATTGCCTCTTTGGTGCCAAGACTGTCTGTTAGCCAGGCAAGTTCTTACAACAAAGGCTCTTAGAGTTTTGCTTCTCTTTGGATTGATTGGCTGAAAACATTAAGTCAATACCACTATTACAATTGTTGTCTTTTCGGTTGTAAAGGTTAGTTCTACATCTGAAAGAAGCGTTCCAAATGCTAAAGACCCTGGGGTTCGCTGACAAAGACATGGACGAACTAAAAGGCATCTTTGCAGACACAAATATCTATTTGCTGTGTGGAACTGTGTTCATCTCATCTGTCCATGTAAGCTCAAGTCTAAACCAAAATATTTGCGTCAGTTTTCGATAGTAACGTTATATACTTTACTTTACCTTTTAAAAGGAAAGAGGAGTACTCTTGTGGAATATGTGAAAGAGATTCTGAGATCCTCTCTTTTAATTTTTCAGAGTGTTATTTCTTTTACAGTAGAACCTCTTTAATCCGAATCCCCGTAATCCGAACGTCCACTAATCCGAACGCCTCATTGCTGTACTCTATATACAGTACAGTACTTCTTTATTGTACTGTATTTATTGATATAAGCACCATAACTGTTTCTACTGTAATGTACAGTGCTGTTTATTCACTATGTTTACTACTGTATTAAATAAACACTGTAGGTTACTTTATAAAGCATTTTTTCACTTTTCCCGTAACAATTACGATCCATTTTAGCCACGTTCAGCCATTATCATGCAAAAACCACAATATATTATGTAATCCGAACTATTCAATAGTCCGAACTACCCCCAGTCCTAATTAGTTCGGATTAAAGAGGTTCTACTGTATTTATTTTCATTGTGATACACACATAAAGATACGGTACAGTAATTTGAAGACTTCAATTTTAACTGTGACTGTGAGGCGAATGTTCATTTATTTTAAAACAAAAAGGAAATGTTGTAATGGCCTTACAAGTATAAATATCTCATCAGAATTTGGAAAAAGGAAAAATACGTAGGTTAGGTTAGATAAGTAAATGTACTAGTTAAGGAAATGTAGATTAGTTTACTTGAAAACCGGAGGAGTTCCCTTACCTCACGATACATAGTGTAATCAAAACACTCAGTGTAGGAAAGGTTTATCAAATTAAAATTATAATAGTGTTATTCTTTGCAATAATCAACTTTAAAATCAGAATTCTAAGCTGGTTTCAGAAAGAATGGTATATTACGTTACTAGTCCTGAAAATAAGTGGTTACCAGATGAGTGTGGTCCTTCCCCTGCGAGACGAAGTCTCGTACGGGATTACCATACAAGTCCGGTAAACACATTTTGGACGAGCCACGTACGATAGTTTACGCCATACTACTAAATCTGTACAGATCCTTATATATTACCACCAACTAAAGGACTAAAAATCACTAGTCATAACCTCTCGAGATGTTATGTTTTTGTTTATAACCACTCACTGCCACCCAAAATCAGTATTATCAGCTGATTGGTGTCCGGTAAAACTCATTATAGTACAATTTGACTAAGCTGGCGGCAAATAGCTTTTTTCTGGACTATATCCTTATTCCTTGTGTGGGAAGTTCTTCAAAATAGTGTAGTGTGGCGTAAAAATATTTTCAGTTACATAGTGTGTTGCTGTGAAATGCCGTTTTCATTCTTATACACCGTTTTAGTGAAACGAAATGTAGGGACAAAATTATTGTTAACATTTTTGCATATTTTATTTCACCTTCAAGTATCATAAAAGAGGAAATTGCATAGTCTATGATAGGCTCTTTTAGCTGTGTTATATCCAATGCTGCATTGCTGTGTTATGTGTGCATGCACAACAATGTTGACTGTTTCAGAAGTTTAGCGGTAATCCAATACATTTGCAACAGTATTAAATAACAATGTTCATACAGCACACTCGGAAAATGAGTTTGATGTCTCTGGAAGAAAATTGTTCTTAAGAAAAGCTTGTATCGTACTTTTAGATGTTAACTGTAAGGATCATGAGGTTCTAAGTTTGCAAAAGGAAATTTTTTGTCTAATTTTATATTGCAATTTATACTTTTTTAGTAAGAAAATGCATTTGTATTTGTAGCTCCTGTTTGACTTCTTGGCGCTAAAGAACGACGTGAATTTCTGGCGAACGAGAAAGACATTGGCAGGCCTGTCGGGGAGGACGATAATGTGGAGAGCCTTCAGTCAGTTTGTCGTATTTCTGTACTTAATGGATGAAGAAACATCTCTGCTAGTTTTGATACCTTCGGGAATTTCTACTCTAATAGAGGTAACCACATTTATTATATTCTCAATTATCGAAGTCAAATAAAAGTCAGTTTCTTTTTAGTACACCATTTCATTAATGTTTATTTAATATTATTTAAATAATATTAAAACATGTACTATTTAATCTTCACAAATAAGTTATAGCAGAAAAGATTAATCAATGAACGTGACATATATGAAATTAATCATTAACAACATTGTACATTAGAATCTTTAGGTAGTAAGATAAGTTAGTGTACATTATTTTACTTATAATTATTTTAAGAACAAAAAATACCATTGAAAGTGGAACTTGCTGATTTAAATCTTCAAGATCCGAAGATTTATAAAGTACACACAAGAATATGGTACACTGAAAATTTACTTTAAAACTATCCGTGCTGCAAGTATAACTCAACAAAAATAGCTGATAGACCTGACATATGCTGCACTCTGGGAGTCAAATTTAAAATTCAATATTAGGGAGCATTAGGCTTCGGTCCCTGAGGTCCTGGGTTCAAATCCTGCTAATCACCAATGGGTTTTATCCATGTGATAAAGCCTTGACCCTCTAGGACTAGCCTGAAGTAATGCATACACTGATTCCAGGCCCTAGCGCCCTAGGGTGTGAAAGGGACATAATAAATAGCTATTTGTGTATTTAGAGCGCAAAATACGTCATTGCTGCTCGAGAACTGTAGGAAGAACTGCTGTAGAAGCATTAGCCGAGTGCAGCCATATGTTTCAAGAGGAGCAATGGCTGTTTATGCTTGTAATAGGCATGCACACAATATTTTTCCTAACACCAAAATTAACATAATACACGGATTAACTTTTTAGTTTCATATAAATTATTTTAATTATGTTTTGTGCCCCTTTCTCAACATTTAAAGTCAAATTAGATACTTGAAATCTAATGTGACTCGCAATGTTGAGAAATGGGCCAGTGGCCTAGAAATATTCATTGTTTCTTTTTGTTTTCTTTTGTGTTAGTGTAGTGAAGTGGGATGCCTACTTTTCTAAAGGTAAGCCTGTTTATCCTACCCTTTGTCTCCTTAAAACACATTTTGGATAGATTGGTTGAAAGTTTGAGTTTGACAAGACGGAGTGTTTCTACTTCACCTCAAATTAGGTATTTTGCCTCTTTGATTATCAATTCTTTAAGACAGTAATACACACTTGGGTGCATATTTTAAACTGAATATGAATGCAAGTGATTGTAGGATGGAGTGAGATGATCTATGTATTTTGTTACTGACTAATTTCACTCATTTTAAAACTGACTGACCGACTTTTTAATTTTAAAAGCCCAATGATGAAGGACAGCTGGGACCAGTTTAAAACCATCCAAAAGCTACTCACTTTTCTTGGATTGAACCAGTATACTTTTGATTACTAGGCAAGACTTTAACCTGAGTGGCTAGGCTATGCTAACTGAGAGTCTGCTTAAGATTTGCTTATAAATAACTACAGTATGATTTTTGTGTACATTAGGTGTATTTAAATCACCAGATTATCCATGGAGTGCTAAGTGTTAAGGAACTAATTTATTTCAGATCTGGAAGGTGCAGAAGGTTGTTCCTGTGGACTGGAGACGGTTTAAGTTAAAACCTCAAAAACTGACGAAGGCTGAGAGAGACACTAGGGACTTTGACGCTGAGAGTATGAAGTATCTCTCCTACGTCTTGTATCCCCTGTGTATCGGGGCTGCTGTGTACTCGCTGGTCTACGAGTCACATAGGAGGTAATGAGAAATACCTTGTCTTTCTCCGAACGTTCCATTCGTATATGTCTTCTCTCACTAATAGTCTTTTTTAGGTTCAGCTGTATTGGATCTATAATGTTAATTCAGAGAGTTAGCTGGTCTAGGGTTAGAGCGCCAGACTTTGGTCCCTGTAGTCTCAGGTTCAAATTAAGCCAATCCCCAAAGGAGTTTATATAAGTGATAATGCCGCAACCCTGTGGTCCTAGCCTGAAATGATGTGCAAAATGGTGTAGGATGCTAGAGCCTAGGATGTGAAGTTGGGACATGAGAAAAAATGTTAAGGCCTATATTAATTTTCTAATTTGACAGCAGTTCCGAAAATACCTTACAAGTGTAGCGTTAGCTTTGGCAGTGTGTCATTTTAAAACACACATGTCTAGGGAATCCATACCATCTGCTTCAGTAGCTTTGTTGATGATTGGAACACAAACCACATACATTGAACACAAACATGTACAGCATAAAGTTGAATATTTTTTATCTGATTAACCTATTGCGGGGAATTACAATTCTCCTTCAGCAAGGACAGACCCTGTGAATGTAGCCTTTTTTGTATGTTTCAGTTGGTATTCGTGGTGCATTCATAGTTTAGTGAACGGAGTCTATGCTTTTGGGTTCCTATTTATGTTGCCTCAGTTGTTTATCAACTATCGGCTCAAATCTGTGGCTCATCTTCCGTGGAGATCTTTCATGTATAAGGTAAGTTCTGACTCATCTTAGTGGTCTAGTAAAAGTTTATTTTAAGATGTATTGTAAGAAATCTAATTAATTCTGATTATGTTCTAAATAAATTTAAGATCTGAATGAATCACATTTTGAACTTTTTAGCAGAAGTATGGGGAGTATCCATTTTTGTTTTGAGGTTGTGTTAATTTCAACCTTTCAGTCTCAGGCCAAAATCGGGATGCTTTGGAAAGATTTTATTACAAAAAATATTAATTCTTTCAATTTTAGTGTCTATGTCTGTTGCATCGTCATAGGCTTGTATTTATATTTCTTGTTTGCTTGTTTAGGCGTTCAACACCTTCATTGATGATGTTTTTGCCTTCATAATAACAATGCCAACGGCACATAGACTGGCTTGCTTCAGAGATGACGTAGTCTTCCTGGTATATCTCTATCAGAGGTGGTAAGTTGCTTCCAATGTCGTTTACTAAACATATGCCTTTCTTAACAAACATCCAATCACAAATGCACTGGTGATTGTCATAATCCAGTATTAGTAATAGTTAAGGTTTATCATTTAACTTTGAAGCAGCGACACACTCCGAGGATTGTAATTTAAGTTGAAGATGAATGAACGATGAGTGTAGAATGGAGTGAGGTTATCTGTGTAGCTTTGTTACCAAGTTAAGCTGTTACTTCAGCATCCTTTATTAAAAGTCCAGTGATCAACTGTCTGAAAAGTTGGAATTGTAAGGCAATGTGTTTTATGAATTATGCAGAAATTGTAGATGGATACAGTGGAAAATTTGTTCTGTTTGGAAAAATGTCCTAGTAATTATGGCTTGACTATTAGAAAAAAGAAAGTAGTCTATCAACACTCAACAGTTTATGATATTGTTTCTTGGCGTAAAAAATGCATTATAGCAAAGCCTACTCACGTCTACTGCCGATATGCAATAAATATATTTTACAAGCCTGTGTTTTGCTGGTCTTGGTTTAGGGGTATTTTGGTCACTCTACTCCAGTTTGAGAGCTTAAACCATTTACCACCCTTCAAAATGACTATGATTCTAGTCCAGTTTTAGAGTCTACAAAATGTTTAGTAGACTCATCCAAAGATCCACAAGACTGCAACCTTCAGATTCATGTACCAAGCTTACAAAATTAAAATTAATGAAGCCAGTAGGAGAAAGGAATTGAACACAATAGCAGGCTAACGGATTTTAAGCTATAACAATAGCAGAAATCGCCAAAAAGACGAGACAAAAAATCGGGAGCCAGAAAAGGTTACACAACTGAACAACTTTGGAAGAAATAAAAGTAGAAAACCCCAGATATGTTACATTTAGTTACACAGGACCCAGGACACAGCTGATCGCTAACAAGTTCAAGAAATATGGAGTATCAATGGCTGTCATATAATTCCTTTCTATCTGTACATTGTAACATCTGTTCAAATGTTTAGAAGTTGTTTTTGTTTACTATGATGTTAGTTTGTTTCATATTGTTAGTTCTATATCATGGTAGATTCTATGTTCAATAAAGCCTAACTAAAGGTAATTTCGTTTATAATGGTTTTATTCATTCAATCTACAACAATTTATTGAACATAGAAGATTTTATTAAAATATACATCAATCTTTTTTTTATGGAACGGATACTCAGACCTGAAAGATTTAATGCCAATCCTAATGAAGTCAATGCAAGTCAAGATTGGAAACACTGGTTTCACACTTTTGAAAACTTTATTGAAACTAGTAAAATCAGTGAAGAATTGAGGCTTAAAGTATTAACCAATTTCATTTCACCATCCGTTTATGAATATGTAAATGACTGTGAAACATACAAACAAGCAATTGATGTGTTAAAAAGGTTGTACTTGAAACCTGTCAATGAAATTTATGCACGTCATAAACTAAGAATCAGAAGACAAGAGTCTGGTGAGTGCATTGATACATACGTAGAATCTCTGAAGCGACTTTCCAAAGATTGTAACTTTAAAGCTGTCAATGCTGTATCAAGTAGAGATGAATATATCAGAGACACATTCATTGATGGCTTGCTAGTACCTCACATTCGTCAACGGTTGTTGGAAAGCTCTACTTTGTCTTTAGATGAAGCAGTTTCTCAAGCCAGATCACTCGAACTTGCTAAATATCACTCTGAACAGTACAACTTAGACAAGTGCTTACCAACAATCAACGCTGCAGCCTCAAAACCTATCACTGAAAAGAATCCATACTTGTCCAGTCCTGATCCAACACCTTCTGCTGCCAAGCCTGAATCGTATCCATCTCAAGAAAATATAGCGTGTTCACTCAATCAGACATGTTACTTCTGCGGCTTTAAGAAACACAATAGAGCTGTTTGTCCAGCTAAAGAAGCTATATGCAGAGGATGCGGCATTAAAGGTCATTACCAAAAGGTATGTAGAAAATCCAAAACACCAACTTCTACAGTAAAGGCATCAGTCCATCAGTCAAATTGTATTGCCTCAGTACCATCGTGTTTGAGTAAAGCTGTAGTCCCAGTACAATTAAATGGAGTCGATGCATACGCTCTTATAGATACTGGTAGTTCTGGTAGTTTTATCAATCAAAGCTCAGCACTTAGATTCAACATCCCTGTCATTCCATGTAATGGGGGAGAGGTATCAATGGCTTCCACAACTCTGCGTTCTTCAATAAAAGGGTACTGTAAAATCAATCTTAAATTACAAGATCATACTTACAAGAATGTGGTCTTCAGCATACTTACAAACTTATGTTCTGACATTATTATAGGACATGACATTCTAAAAAGACACTCAAGTTTACAAGTACAATTTGGAGGAAAAGAGTCGCCTCTCAACATATGTAGTGTGGCTTTAGCTAATGTTGAGCCAGTAGAACTATTTCGTAATCTATCTCCAGATTGTAAGCCTATTGCAACAAAATCTCGAAGGCACTCAGCAATTGACGAACAGTTTATTGAAAGTGAAATTCAATTACTGTTAAAAGAGGGTATTATTGAAGAAAGCAGGTCTCCATGGAGAGCACAAGTCCTTGTTGTTTCATCAGATAACCACAAACGGAGAATGGTTGTCGATTATTCACAGACAATTAATCGTTTTACAGAACTTGATGCATTTCCACTCCCTAGGATTGATGACATAGTCAACAAAGTAGCTTCATACAAAGTTTATAGTTCTATTGATCTTAAGAGTGCCTATCATCAAATCCCAATAACAGAAAATGACAAACCTTACACGGCATTTGAAGCTTGCGGGAATTTGTACCAATTCACACGAGTGCCTTTTGGAGTTCGTAATGGTGTCCCTGCTTTTCAACGTACGTTAACCAACATAATCACTTATGAAAAACTTGAAGGTGTTCAGGTCTATCTGGATGATATAACAATCTGTGGCAATGATCAGGCTGAACATGACAGGAACTTGAGCAATTTTATGAAAGCTGTTTCCAAATATAATCTTACCTTGAACAAACATAAATGCAAGCTTTCTACAGCCATGATCCATCTATTAGGTTATGTAATCAGTCATAAATCAATAAGACCAGATCCAGATCGTCTGCAACCACTTCGAGATCTTCCCATTCCAACCAACTCAAACTCTCTTCACAGAGCTCTTGGTATGTTCTCCCACTATTCACAATTCATTCCTAAATTTTCTGAGAAGGTGAGCTGTTTAAACAGAAGTTCATTTCCACTGAATGAAGAAGCTAAATGTGTGTTCCAAAGACTTAAACAAGACATTGTTAATGCAGTAACTTCTTCGATTGACTGTGATGGGTTGTTAACAGTTGAAACTGATGCATCAAATCATGCAATAGGAGCAGCTTTGACTATTGATGGTAGACCCGTAGCGTTTTTCTCTAGAACACTTACTAACTCGGAACAGAAACATTCATCTATTGAGAAAGAAGCATATGCAATAGTTGAAGCGTTAAGAAAATGGAGGCACTATCTCATAGGCAGACACTTTCGCCTTATAACAGACCAACGATCTGTAGCATTCATGTTCAGTGATCGGAATGCAAGCAAAATCAAGAATGATAAAATAATGAGATGGAGAATTGAGTTATCCTGTTATAAGTATGAGATCATTTACAGAGCTGGAAAAGAGAACAAAACAGCAGATGCTTTATCCAGGGTGTGTTCATCGATGGAAGGAAGTTTATCAAACCTTGTATCACTACATGACGCTTTATGTCATCCAGGAGTGTCTCGAATGTATCATTGGACTCGGAGTAAAAACTTGCCTTATTCACTGGATGAGATCAGAAAAGTAACTTCCTCCTGTCGAACCTGCTTAGAGGTAAAACCTCGATTCCACAAACATGAAGGACAACTTATTAAAGCTACTCAACCATTCGAAAGACTGAATATAGATTTTAAAGGGCCACTTCCTTCCAAGAGTAGAAATCGTTATCTTTTAATAGTCGTAGATGAATACTCTCGATTTCCATTCGCGTTCCCTACTCAAGACACAGCTGCTAGGACTGTTATTCTGAGACTTAAGGAACTTTTCTCAATGTTTGGAGTACCGGCTTATATTCATTCTGACAGAGGTTCATGTTTTATGTCTCAAGAACTAAAATCATTTTTATGTTCACTAGGAGTTGCTACCAGTCGTACAACAGCTTACAATCCTCAGGGCAACGGACAAGCTGAGAGGTATGTTGGTATTATATGGAAGACAATCAAACTATCACTTAAAAGTAAAAATCTGGACATATCTGATTGGGAAAAAGTACATTTAGAAGCTTTGCACTCTATCCGGTCGTTATTGTGTACTTCAACAAATACAACACCGCATGAAAGACTATTTCTCTTTTCTAGAAGATCTAGTAATGGTAAGACAACTCCATCTTGGCTCATGAATCCAGGTCCAGTGCTCATGAAACGGCCTGTCAGGAGCTCGAAATACGAACCACTCGTTGAAGAAGTACTGCTCCTTGAGGGGAATCCTGAGTATTCTCACATAAGATATGCAGATGGCCGTGAAACTACAGTGAGTTCCAGGCAATTAGCACCTGTAGGAGAAGTGTCACATCATGAAGAAGACTCAAACTCCAATCTACGACATGAAGAAGACTCAAATCCCAATCTACGACATGAAGAAGACTCAAACACCAATTTACGACATGAAGAAGACTCAAACACCAATCTACAAATAAATGAAAGAAGTTCTCAAGTTGATGCTGGACCTGAGCCTATCTTCCAAGACGAGGAAAGACTGAATCAGGACCAGATTGCTCTAAGGAGAAGCTCCAGAAGTAAACACCCGCCTTTGTATCTAAAAGACTATGTCAGCTAGGAGGGGAAGAATGTCATATAATTCCTTTCTATCTGTACATTGTAACATCTGTTCAAATGTTTAGAAGTTGTTTTTGTTTACTATGATGTTAGTTTGTTTCATATTGTTAGTTCTATATCATGGTAGATTCTATGTTCAATAAAGCCTAACTAAAGGTAATTTCGTTTATAATGGTTTTATTCATTCAATCTACAACAATGGCCTTTAGGACTCAGAACACCTTGAGTAAAATATTGCATCCACATGTAGAAGATTGTAACAAATTTGAAGCTTCAGGCATCTATAAAATAAGTTATAACGATTGTGATCATGTTTACTTTGGACAAACTGTAAACTTTATTAAACGTTTCAAAAACCATGTCTCTGCTTGGAGAAACAACAAACCGGAAAGATCAAATGTTGCACAACACTTGTTACAAAATGGCCGCTCATTAGAGAAAATGGAAGACAATGTTCTGTATTTTAAAGAATTGTAAGAAAGGAAATGTGATGAATGCTTGGGAAGAATTGTATATTTACAAGGGAAAATGTAAAAAAATAAGCTAATCAATTGTCAAGTGAATTTTGACTCCAGTTGTACTTATAAAAACTTACTGGCCGGTACTTCCGGTAGCCACTAGTATATAAAGGACGCCATTTTTGATTCTTGTCATTCGCCTATTGGAGTGTCAAATCGAAATTGATCACCACTTACCATCTTTCATATGTATTTATCATCTTGTGAGTCAACAGTATAAGAGTCAGTAAATATATTATTACTAGTGTTATTAGACGTATATATTTTTTTGTTTTTTCAGGTAATTTAATAACACTTACGATGCTGATCAAGAAGTTATTCAATGTTTAGTACCGTTGAGTCTAGGATCACGCATAATGGACTATCAGGCCGTAATCTTTTGTGTTCATTTAAATAGAATAACATTTACAATAGAATAAAATCTTACAGCTATTTTATTTATTTGGATCCGAGGGACCGATGCAGGCTGGAAATGGTTTTGGAGCCAAGCTTGGGGCTCATTTATGTTAGAGGTGTGCGAGCGGCCCAAATTTCAAGGCAAGCCGGCCTTTATTTTTGCTATCACAGAAAACGTCTGCAAAGATACATGATTTAAAATTGTTGATTTTGCCCCAATTGTGGGTAATGATATCGGTTTTGCCACAATGGTAGGAGACGATGACAATGTCTCTGGAATATGTTCATGAAGTGCTGTTACCATGAAATACATAGTTTTTTTTGTGATCATGAAAAATATTCTTGAATTCCCCGAGACTGCAGAAGACAACGGACCCCAATTTGCCGTAACCATGGAAGACATTAACGATATTGCTGTGATCGAAGATGTTAAAAAACGTTCATTATATCACGATTGCAGGAGGTAATGTACAATCTTCTATGAGCCGGTTGGACTATTACAATAAATGCTAAATAAATATTAAAAATCAATACATTCTAAAGAAATCCTTTTTCCCTGAGTTCTGAAGGCCAATATTTTAAACCCAACCTGAAGTAAAAAGTCTGACTCGCAGACTCCTATCCTTCACCTCAAAATACACACTTTTATGTTTTGGCACTGTATAAATCCAATCTAGGCCTGTGTCTATCCTAAGTTGATGACAACATGAGGTGGAGAGAGTCCCACACACTTGGAAATGTTTTCATTCTTTCATGACAGTGCATTATAACTTTTCTTAAAAAATTATTGAAATTATCTTTTTCTTGTAATTATTGAAAAGAATAGTTTTGGAACAAAATATGTGCAATCGTTGTCTATTGGATATAGCCTACGTGAGTAACTCTCATTCCAAAAATGTTATTAAATTAATGCTTGTCTTTGCCTCGTTTAGGTTGTATCCAGTTGACAAATCCAGGATGGATGAAGCTGCAATCTCTGTCGGTGAAATGGACTCTGCATCAGACGACAAGAAAACAAACTGAGCAACGATAGAAGTTCGAATTGCACTGACTGGTGATATTTTTTATAGTTTTCAATTGTTATTTATTTTACATCTAGCAAAAAAAAAATTAGACAAGTGTTTGTAATATTGTGTTATTTCTTCCTTGCGTCAAAACGCGTTAGTTATTTCCTCCTTCAGGTCACTTTCTTTAAATCTAGTCGGCAGAAAGAAATTCCTTATGATTCCTGAAGAGGTAAAAAAGAGCTAATAAAAACTTGTGGATATCATATCCTCGTGCCTGGTAATTCTGCTCCAAAGGCCAATTTCTAATTGCCTTACATTCTTTCAAATTTTACAGTAGGCTATTTAGGCCTAATTAATTAAATGATAAACAGCTGGTTGATGCAATTACAATATTAGTATAGCCTACCCCCGCCACAACAAAACTACAGACCAAGAGAATTTCTATTTGCCTCATTATAATTTCACAAAAATATGCCAGATTAATTCCCTAAGATTACATTTTTTTAGTTTAACAAGTATAAAGTTTAAAAATTCCTACCCTAAGGGTGCAAGGCGCTCTCAAAGGTCCATTTTTCTCCCTAAGAATTACACAGAATAAATTTAAAAACAAAAAACAGCTGTTATAAAAAGAGATTCATCAGCTTTATTGGGAGTAAAAATATTGGTTTGTAATATGTGATATCGAAAGCGAATAGGGACCTCTTGTTGGGAATTATCGATTTTGAGTTATATATATATTTGAATTCCTTATTAAATTCCGAATTGCTTGGTGCAAATCCCATGCATCAACGATTTTTTCTGTTAAAGTTATAGGACTTTGAAGTTTTGTTATGGAAAAGGGTCATTTTGAAAAAAAACTGTTTAGATAATTTCAAATACGGATAAAATCAGTTTTTTTTTGTATTTAAGAAATTATTTTGGTACCGTATCAAAAGAAAGCTTATAACGTCCTCTTCGGAGGCAATACCAATTTTTTTCTTAACTCACGGTAGTTTTGATTTAAATAATTGTTTTATCGAAGCATGTTGAAAAAATCGCACTTCAGAAAAGGGACTTCTTGTCGGCCCCATGTTATTTCTCCATAAGATAAGAAAAGGTACTCTTGTCGGGGCCACGAAATCTGTGCTCAGTTAACTGAATTTGTTGAAGTTCTCTAAATTTCCACTAGAATGCAGGACAATTCAATTTTTGGACTAAAGTTTGTTTATAAACTAAAGTGAATATTAGAAATGGGAGCTCTTGTCGTTAAGGCGAAATAACATTGAGCGACTAGAGGTCCCTTTTCTCAGACCGTGCAGAGGCTAATAAAATGATTTATTTCGACCTTTTACAACTTCAATTCGTTATTTTAACCGATACTGTTGTGTTCTATGTTAACAGAGCCACTGGGGCGGAGCCCGAAAGGATTTTTGAGATAAGACCATGCCTATATGTTAATTGGGAATGTGAGCTATCATCATGCCAAATTTCAGCCTAATCCGTCCAGTAGTTAATGCGTGATTGAACTCCAAACAAACACACAAACTTTCACATTTATAATATTAGCAGAGTATCCGTCCCAGAGATATCTCGTTTAGACTTAACCAACTGATAACTGGACTATCTATTGTACTTTCTACAGCACTCTTACTTGACGCAATCCATGCCTCAGTAAAATTGGGAATCGAAGGAAAAAAGTTAATGTGTATTGGATGTAATGCAAGCAATGAGCTCCCCTACTATTGAGTTACATTTGCATATGGTTGTTAGGTTTCACAGTTTTTTTATAATTATAATTGTAGTAAATTAATTGTTATGCTTATTTTACTAAGTTATTGTTCGATTTTTTATTTTTATTATGTGAAGTATGGAGAACTTTTATTTTGATTTTAAGCAGCCAAATAAGGACTCTATCACGCACAGGTCATTGTGACCCATGTGATATTTTTATTTGATTCATGTAATGCTGCAAAATAATTTGTTGTAAATAAAGAATTTCTCTCTCTCTCTCTCCGTCCTTCGTACGGGATTGGCATATAAGTGTAAAATGCTTATTGCAGTTATACTCAAGCTTTGTGTTTGCAATAGGGGAGGACACGATTTGATAAAATTTAATTCTTCAAATTTACGGTATACTATAGTATTACACATCTACCATGGCCATATTCTACCACGTCACCTAAACAATAGAGAAAAATAAATTATTAAAGATTCGTAAAATATCACAAATGATTCACAAAATTAAAAACATAAAAGTAACTGTAAACTATCCTACTTTGACAGTTCTCATTACATATCATAGTTTTTTGTTGTTGCCTAGTTCCAATTAGCTGTTTCCATAAATGCAAAAAAGTAATAGTGCTGCACCCTGTTGGTAAATCTTATAACTTTTAATGCTTTTGCATGCCATAGAACCAACTTTTTAAGTTGAAACAGCTGACTAAATTCTTTTATTCCCTTTAAATATGAATATTCATAAGGTTAACATGGGAAACTACAGAACCACTGGGGTGGAGCCCGAAAGGATTTTTGAGATAAGAATATGCCTATATGTTAATCGGGAATGTGAGCTATAATCATGCCAAATTTCAGCCAAATCCATCAAGTAGTTAATGCGTGACTGAACTTCAAACAAATAAACAAACAAACGCACAAACTTTCACATTTATAATATTAGTAAGATTATGTTGTAAAAAATTATAAAAGTAGGCCCTAATCTACAATATTTAAAAATAGATGCCGCTCTCATATTGTTTTGGTTATCGCTTAGGGTAAAAACACAATGGAGCGGCGATGCAAGATTGTAGCGGAGAACGTAGCTAAGAGTCTTTTTACCCCCGGGGGAAGTACAGTACCGTATTTTTGAATATACAGTAGGCCTACTTTAAAACTGATTCCTATCATGAGGGTAAAATATACTGATTTTGTAAATAAATTAATGAATAGTGTAAACTGTATAACACATTATTTTTTTTTTAGTTAGCCTACCTTGTTTTTAGCCAATTTCCCTATAGCTATTACCGTAGGTCTCATGGCAAGACTTGAGCCTGGGAGCGATTTATTTTAGCGAATTTCCCATATAGGGAATAAGCTATTACCGTAGGTCTCATGGTAAGATCTAGACCCGGGACCGATTTACTTTTTCGTTTTGAGGTCCCCAGAGGCCAAAAACACCATCCGTTCAAATTCATATATATATATATATATATATATATATATATATATTTATATATATATATATACTAGCTGACCCGGCGAACTTCGTATCGCCTAAGTTATAGGTTTCCCCTAAGACAGACCGATGGAAAGAAAGTACCGTTACGTTTAATTTTCAAGATGATCTCGTTCGCATCGCTCAATCACGTCTTTGACTATTAATACAACAATTACAAGACATTCCATCCCCATGTTAAAGTTGTAACCAGGTTATTAATAAAATTTGTCTTAGTTGATGTGAGCCACCTACAGATTGCGCTGACCTAAATTACTGACTTCTGCCGATTACATGATGGTTTTTACCTAGTCAAACTGATGGAATGACTTATTATGAGCTATAGCAACTGTTGTGACCCATCAACTATGTCAGTAACAAAAAATAAGGTACAAAATAGATTTTTGGACACTAGCGCAATCTGTGACTGGCTCACACAACTACATTCTTTTTTAGTAAAAAATTGGTGACAGCTGTTCCATATAGATGGGATGTCTTCTTCTGTATCCAATAGTCAATGATCACGTCCTGGTTGAAGTTCGTTCGCTACGCTCACTCACCTTTGGGTTGGGGCTCGTTCGCTACGCTCACTCACCTTTAGGTTGGAGCTCGTTCGCTGCGCTCACTTGCCTTCAGGTTAGCTCGTTCGCTACGCTAACTCGCCTCCAGGTTGAAGTTCGTTCGCTACGCTCACTCACCTTTTGGTTGCAAATTAGCTGTTGTCATAAATGTAAAAGAAATAATAGTGCTGCACCCTGTTGGTAATCCTTGTAACTTTAATGCTATTGAACATCATAGAACAGAACCAACTTGTTTAATTGAAACAGCTGTTAAGATTCATTAATTCCATTTCTCATAAGGTTAACATGGGAAACTCCAGAGCCACTGGGGCGGAGCCCTTTTAAGAATTTCCAAACGGGAAATAGTTTACGTCCGATTCGCATACCTACAGAATTTACACACCAAATTTCATAACGATCGGTGAAGTCGTTCTGGAGGAGTTTGCAGACAAACACTGTGACACGAGAATTTTATATATTAGATATATATATATATTTATATATGTGTCCGTTAGCGCGATAACTCGAGCAAAATTGATCCGATTTTGATGAAATTTGGTACAAACGTGTAAACCTACATTTATTCGAACGAGTTCGCGAACCAGCATAATCGGACCATGGGATCAGGGGTTTATGGGGGGTTTTATGGGGTAAAAATGGGTTTTTCTCATTTTTGACCCTAAAAACTTAACATTTCTAAATTTCTCTCTAGACCATTTTGAAGAGCTTACTTAAAAAAACAAATAATTTAGTATATTGAAGTGTTTTTGAATGTTCATTGACTACGGAGAAAATTTAAAAAATTGTAAATTTGAAATTCCCATGTTATTCTTATGGAGAATAAATAAACTGTTCTAGTTTGCTTGTTTATGGATATATTTTAATCAAATTTGGCAATTTGGTTTATTTCATACTAAGCTATCAATATTTAAATTGAAAAAAACACATCTCAACATCTTCCCCGTAGCAGCAAACCTTTAACTACTCACTAAAATTAATGTTATTTAAATAGGAAATAAATCTGAAAATTTATAGGGAATATTTTAGTAGAAATCGAGCCGGGTAAATGGAAATTCGCTTAGTATGCAGGTTTGCTGCGACGGGGGTATTTTTGTTTTGATGTCACCAGAGGCCAAAAACACTATTTGTTCAAATTTGTACATATATATGTTTATATATATATATATTAATTTAGGTGTTCACGTAATAGGGCTGCTGATACTATTAAATTAGCCTATAGCAGTAAAAAAGTACAACTGAGCACCGTGAATAGGCTAATTATATAAATATATTTATTTAATATACTGGGTGTTTGAAACCAACCCCAGTACACAAACTCTATCCTATCATAGGGATCGCCCCTCCATCAATCTGACGTGATGTCGCAGAAAGGACTAAGCAAGAGACAGCCCTCGTCACCCATTACAAGGCCACCAACCTGCAGAGCGACGGCTTCGGTCAAGAAAGAGCTTTTTATCACAGACACGAGTCCTGGATGGATCACTCTCAAGCAATCGGGTGGCGAGGTGGGAGGCCGCGTTGACTAACCCTCCCATACCAGCCAGGGAGGAACTGGCTCCTGGTGGAGGCCTTCATTACACGGTGTGGAAGACCCTAAATCGAATTAGGGTCGAGGTGTGGTGCTGTTCAGGATCCTGGCCATCTGCTGATCTGTCCACGCCTAGACCAGTCTTGCACATTAGATGATCTTTTACTTGTGAATGACAAAGCCATATCGGTAGCTAATTTTTGGAAAAGCGAAGTCTGATTTCCGGACACGGAAAGTAATATTTAAAAAAATATTCAGGGTGCTCAGTTTTACTTGTTTACTACTATAATTTGATATAGGGTACCTCTATATATATATGCGTGTGTGTGTGTGTGTGTGTGTGTGTGTCCGTGAACGTGATAAATTGAGTAATTTTTTATTGATTTTGATGACATTTGGTTTGGTCCTGTGAACCAGCATGATCGGATACTGTGATTTAAAGTTGTTCAAATTCTACAAGCGATTCAAATAGTTGGACTTCGGACAGTGGGAGCTCTACTATATAAGTTAGGCCTAGGCTACTCGTTTTTACACAATTTTATACAGTAGACCTACCGTACTTCAAGAATCACAATATGGGTGATGTGGACTCGGGTTTATCTTTACCTAAGAATCTTTCTCCAACCCTCTCTAAGGAAACAATAATTGATAACAAATTTAGTAGGTTAGGCAGCTATGTTATTTTGGTTTTGGTAAGATTATAGGGAGGTTTTGTAAGTTTATTTACCTACTAACTAGGGCCTATAGCCTACACAACCATCTAACGAGCCATGTATTCCGATTTGAAAACCACCCTGCCTTTTTTCTTTAACATGTTTGTTGAGACAGTGAGTGATGACATATATATTATCAGATTGCAATCCCTAGCCTATAGACGTAGGCCTTATGTATAGTTGATAAGTTAGAAAAAGAAATAGACAAGCTCTGGATTGATGAAACTTTATTAAGTTAAAGGCTGTTAACAATCCTACTAAATTTTTTGTCAAATAAAATAATTACTAAGTTAAATATGGTTAATTTTTGCAGTACATAACTTAGGCTATCATGTGTACATCCTTGTTTATTTATCTGCTGATTTCCATCCTTTGGGCTGATCATCTCGCGCCAATGTGAAGTCCCAGTGGATTGACCATGGACCCAGGTGAGAAGTTCGGTCCTTATCGACAACCGGAGGGAAAAGATCAAACCCTTCTTGCACTGAGTATTTCTTTACCATTCCAAGAACTCCAAAGGAAAATGCACAGACAGTTCCTACCACGCCGTTCCTAGCAGCAGCTCCAGCGACACTACCTGCAGCCAATCCTCCATAGAAATAGTTCCAAATGTCATCCTTGTCTCGAAAACTAGTTGACAGGCATGTAACCGCAGCAAAGGTTGAACCTACTGCCATAACGGGTAAGGTAAGAGTGGCGTACCTTAAGGCAATGTTTCCAACTCCAACTGGTTTTGACAAGGTTAAAACATCTAAGGTGCTGTAAAAACCGCCCAAGAGAGCACCTACTTTATTCATATAAATAACTTTCTGCAGACAATCCTCGCCATCAGGGGTATCGTAGTAATGATAGCCTGGAATTCTGTTGAGCCAAGGAAATGGTGAGGAGTCTTCCCGGGATTTCTTCTGGGGGTTAGAATCACTTGACATTATTTTGGATTATTATGACACGTAAATAACAAGTAATTAAAAGACCGAATGATCTAGTTCACTTGACCCAGCCCTAGCACATTGAAATTTATGATATGATATTATTTTCCAAGAGTGACAATAACAGTGAAGTGAAGGAGAATGGAAAGGACGTAAGTTAAAGAAAACAAGAAAACTATTTACAAGACAGACGACAACTTGTCAGAAAGTATATGAGGAATTACATAGAGTAAAGCCTTTTCGAATTTAAATATTTTCTAGACTATACAAAGTAGTAAGACATTTTGCTAAAGAAAAACACTACTAACACTGGGAGTGAACAATAAACATTGAAAATTGAACATACAGAATTAAAAACCAAAATAATATGAATTGAAAATCTATATCTGTACATTTAAAGTGAAGTCAATATTTTCGTGGGGTCCCAGTTTATCGACATCCCAAAAGATCGACACTGAAATAGTCCCATATTGTTGACAACTCAAAATATCGACAGGCTATAACCGCCAATTTTGGCGTTCATCCCCAAAATGGGGGATTTTGGGGAAACTAAAAAATTTCAAATACAAAGACCCATCGAGTGACCCCCTCATTTTGAAGGTCCTGGTAAAAGAAAACCACCAACGCAAACTAGAGGTCTCTATCTCAGTTCAGTAAAAAAAATGGCAGACAATTGAAATTCTCATAAGTTCCCAAACCCAAAATGGGGGATTTTGGGGGAAACTCACAAATAATTTTAAATGATAAGCCCCATCGAGTGACCCCTCATTTTGAAGGTCATAAGAAGATGAACACCAAAGTGGTGGTTATAGCCTGTCGATATTTTGAGTTGTCGACAATATGGGACTATTTCAGTGTCAATCTTTTGGGATGTCGATAAACTGGGACCCCACGAAAATATTGACTCCACTTTAAATGTACAGATATAGATTTTCAATTCATATTATTTTGGTTTTTAATTCTGTATGTTCAATTTTCAATGTTTATTGTTCGCTCCCAGTGTTAGTAGTGTTTTTCGTTATAGCCCAAAAAGTACTTCATAACATGTCATAAAGGTGTGCCGAGTTTAGTTTTTCTAGTATGGGCCGTTCCTGTATAATATGTGTTCTGCAGTTTGAAGGCTTTACAATAATTTGACATTTGTCACACTTGTATTATGGATTCATTATGTGGAGTATTTGAGTAAATTAATGAAAAAATTAAGAGAGAGAAAATAAAAGTCATGTTTTCAAGAAGAACAGAAATCAATAATGTTTATTTGTACAGTATGAATCATTTTTTAAATCATCAGCTGTTCTAAGTAAAGGCTAAAGAAAATTATTAGGTGATAGAACTTAACACATTATACTGTTTTTTAGCGAATTTCCCCATAAGGAAGTAGCCATTACCGTAGGTCTCATGGTAAGACTTAGGCCCGAGACCGATTTACTTTTTAATTTTGATGTCCCCAGAGGCCAAAAACACCATTCGTTCAAATTTTTATATATCTATATAGACCGACTCAAACCGGCATTCCTCCTTCAAGACTCTATGAATGATACGACCATTAACGTAAGAAAAAATGACATAGGCCTACAATCTAGAGAAACTCAAGTAGACAAGACTAAAGACAGAAATGAAGATAACCTTAAAAAACACTGATTTTTACAAGATCAGGGGCCCATTTCATAATAAAGTACAAACTAATATTATTAGTAAATCAGCTGATCGCCCAATGCAAATCTAATGGAAATTACAAGTTACAAGTTGTAACTTGTAACTTGTAGTTTATTATGAAATGGGCCCCAGGTCGTAGTGTTCATCCCCCGCATCGTTACATTCCTCGTTGACACTGGGAGGGGAGTATGTGGCTACATAGTTTTTCCTACAGTTACCTAACAATGTACATGTTCTCTCACTGATATGAGAAAGCAAAGTGGCCAATTCGCTCATCAGTGAGACAATGTTAACATTGTCTCACTCTAATTACTTTGTCTCACTCCAGATTTTCAACGTGAAGGCACGAAATAGTGAGCGCGTAACATGCAGGCAACGTCGTATGCGCGCGAAATACGTTGGCAGCACTGGCTGTAAATCAGCTGGTCAGCTGTTGTACTGTTGTATTTGTCACTTCACATTAAATGTTATATTTAACGTTCACTTCTGTGTAAAATAAGGTTATGTTTCTTCACAAATTTATTTGTTTTATGGTAACTGTAGGAAAAGTATAATGTGCTACTCGAGTTCAAAGTACAATTGCCTCACTCGAGAAACCATTCCTCACTCGCCTACGGCTCGTGAGTAAGGATTTCTCTCGAGTGAGTCAATTGCTCACTTTTCTCACTAGTTGCACAAATAACTATTGCCATTAATTTGAATCTGCTAATTACTGTCTCAACTGTACTTTGAATGTTAAAATTATCATATGATCAGCTGACTTTTTGTAAACTTTATTTTTGACATTATTGTAGTTCTTTCTTAATACAAAAGTGTTTCAATGTTATAATCTCTTCTTTTAATTAACTTATTTTGTGTTAAGTATATTTATTTAAGGCACAAGCCTTAGAGGTATGTAAAAAAAAGAAGATCCAGTAGACACATTATTATTAAACTCATTTTATTAAGGAAATAAAATTGATAAAACGGTAACAACAAGAAACTCCAAGTACATAACAACTGGTTCAACCAATCAATTAACTAGCTGCACACTGGACCTGAGGCATTTCTGACTCACTTTCTTGTCCTCTGGGTGCTCGTCTTCTAGATTCGGAGGACATGTCCATATCACTCAGAAGACACTCTTCAGCATTTTCAGGGACGTCTTGCTGAGGCCTTGGTGGTAAACACTGCTCCAGTTGTGCTATCACAGTAGGTGGAAGCACGGATGGAAAATTTACACTAAAGTGAACAATTAGTTTACCTTTCTCGGACGAATTACGATACTGAGGCATCCCCTCCCCTATAACGCACTTGATATCCCCATGTTTTACTATTTCCCCTGGAATGACAGTGATCAGAAGATTCCTGTCATCTAGAGTTCTGATCACCTTTTTGAACCCACATAAGGATTCTACCAACTCAATTTCCATTCGAAAGATCAAGTCACTTCCCGATCTTTTAAACCTGGGGTGACTCTTTTCATCCAGTACTATAACAATATCACCGGGTTTATACCCAGGTTCTTGGTCTCCTTCTTCTGTAAACGTGATTTTTTGACCGTCAACCATTCCAGGAAGGACGTGGACTTCGAGAACTTTTCGATCTCTAACTGTCTTCTTCCCGTTGCACGTCTTGCAGCGGTCTTTGATGGGGATCTTCTCTCCTTGGCCCTTACAGTCGCTGCACATGCGCCGTATTTGCTGCATCATGCCAGGTCCCAGCTGGTGTACCTGGATTTCCATTCCGGAGCCTCCGCAGGTCCCGCATTTCTCAATGGCACCTTTCTTTCCTCCACGACCTTCACACTTTTCACAAACAACATTCTTCTCGATTGCCAGTTTCCTCGTGGAACCCTTGTACAGATCCTCTAAGGATATTGAGAGCTGATGTACAACGTCTTTACATTTCCGTTCACCCGGCCCTCTTCTGCCACCTCCAAAGAAGATGTTAAATACATCCATCGGGTTGGAGGAAAATCCTCCACCTCCAGTTCCCGCCTTCAATGCTTCTTCACCACCCCTATCGTAGATGGCTCTCTTCTCTGGGTTTGACAGTACTTCATAAGCCTGCGAAATTTGCTTGAACCGCTCACCTTCACTTGGGTTTTTGTCTGGATGGTATTTGAGAGCTAGTTTTCTGTATGCTTTCTTCAACTCATCTAAAGTACAGTCGGGCTTGACGCCAAGGATGTCATAATATCCTGTTTCTTTGACCATTTTATGAATCCAACTAGTCAATGTTGTAACGCAAAATAAGATAAACGAAAAAAGCTGTTTAAAAATTCCAAGTTATTCCGTCTCAAACTGTCTAAAACTTCTAACAGTAATCATTTGTAAATTAGCTGCAAATAAAAATGCCAAAGACAGTAATGATTGTTTATTGTTTGAGTATTTTGTAAAATCAGCTGTCTAGCTTCTACAGCAAGTTAGAATCCAATGTGTACACTGTCTACTACGTTTATTCATTGGTTATAAGTAATTACGAAAGTATGTGGATTTACGCTAAATGGTCAAGTTTATTTACAGTAAAGGATATTTAACATGCAAATAAAGATTAAAGAGATAAGGTTTTTAATAATAAAACATTTCAAGTTTTTTAATATATTGTACTTAGATTTTGCAATACCTTATATACTATACAATGTTATAAACGCTCCTAGTTAATAATTAGAGTATGCACTGATTTATTCATTAATCAATTATTATGCTTTGCATTAGTAGGTTAGATATTGGAAATACCATGAATTAAATCAATCCCGCGCAGAATAGATACGAAAAACTACCGAAAAATGGCAAAGTTATTGAATTACTACTAGATATTCCAACACAATTAGCTATTTAGTCTCCTATGCGCTACGTATACGTTGTTATCAATAAATTTAAACAAGGAAAGTTTAAAAAGTTTGATTGGGTCTAGCCTATAATAAGATGAAACAATGCCTTTACGAAAAAATGAAGAAAGCTAATTGGAAATCACCACCAACTGTCGGAGTTAAAGGCGGCCGTCGTCCAAACGGTCCTATTGGGAAAAATAGCAAGCTATTGCCGCCATTACCTTCTTAAATTTTAAAAGAAACCGAATTTTGAATTTTGAAATCCAACTTTGAGGTATGAAACTTGAACTTAAACTAATTACCAATTAAACAAATAATTCGAACTGGAAAACATCCAATCACCTCAACTTTAAGTTATGAACATCGGTATATTCAGTTTAATAGGAATATAAAAATAATTTCCTAACCAGCATTTCGAAAAAGCTAGCCCGGGAAAAATAAATGTGTATAACCACTACAGCCACCTCTAATAACAGTCGTTCTAAAGTGGGTGTTTACTCAAGGGAGGTATAGATGAGCCTACATGACGATTTGGAGCCTGCTGGTTCTGGTTAGTTGAGGGAACACCATTACCGCAACGATATGGTGTTGAGCAATCGGTCTCGGTGGTCTAATGGATAGCGCGCCGGGCTGTTAAGCTGAAGATGCCAGGTTCGAATACCACCGGTAGCACTAATTTTTTGTCTAAGATTTTTAATTATCAGCAAGTTTGGTTGGTTTGGTTCGGTTATGACAGTTTGACATGTTTGTTTTACAAAGAAAACATTATAATATTGAAATTGAGCCATTTCTAGTTTTATTTTATTAACAGAATTATTTTTTTATTAGTAAACCTTCATTCGACTTTTTGATTATCAGCAAGTATGGTTAGGTTATTACAGTTTGATTTTATAACTAAAAAATTACAAAATTGAATTTGAGACATTTTAATTTCATTTTATGAACAGAACTATTTTTTCGATTAGTAAACCTTCATTATAGCCAAAGAGCTCTTTACTACAGCGTGGTTCACGGAGGCATTTTGAACCAAACTATGATGTCATCGATGCCTCCATTCATATAAGTCATAAGTCATAAGTAGTTTATTCAGCAAAATTAACATAAAATGCATTAGCTACGTCAACAAAACAAAATAAAATACAATATTTACATAACAAAAAAAAACTCTCTTGTATAAATTAAAATTGTCAACTATGCTACTATATTTACCCCACCAGTTCTAGGGCAAAGAAATTCACGAACGCTGCAGAAGGCATTATCCAGCAAAAAATTCTTTAGTTTTTTCTGAAATCTATTTAAATCCTGTTCGGTCTTTAGGGAAGGAGGAAGGTTATTGAAAAGCTTGGCGGCATTGTATTGAAAGTTCTTTTGGAAGAATGAAGTTGAGTGTTTAGGAATTGCAAGGTCGGAAGAATTACAAAGTGGATATCTATTGTTGAGCTGTGAACAAAAAGAAGATATATTTTTTCTGGTAAAGGATAGTGTTTCAAAAATGTATATGGATGGAAAGGTTAGAATTCGGAATTTTTGGAAAATGTCTTTGCAGGATTGTCGTTCAGGTAGGGAAAATATGATGCGGATGGCTTTCAATTGTTGTCGGAAAAGAAACTTCGTCTTTTCACTTTCACTACCCCAGACAGGGACAGCATAGGATAAATATGGATATACAAGACCATAATAAGCAGACAGGAGGACCTCTGAATTTACTGTTTGGCTAAGCATACGAAGCCAACTGATATTTTTGTTGTGACATGTTTGATATGTTTGTGGTAGTTAAGATTTTCATCAAGGACCACACCAAGGAACTTAACCTCTTGACAGGGATGGATCTCATTTTCACCCAACAGTAAATGTTCCTTGTTTTTTGTTTGTTTGATGATTTGAAATGCTAAATTGGAGAAGTTGGGTTTTTTTTTCATTTAGGACAAGATGATTATCCTCACACCATTGGAGCAGGCTATTAGATTCAAGAAAAATCGATTGCTCAAGTGTTTCTGTGGAATGACTGGATACAGTAAGAGATGTATCATCGGCAAACAGACAATGTTTGCCTTGTTTGCGCAAGTGGGCAAGTTGTTTATAAATAGAAGGAATAAGGTCGGTCCGAGGACGGAACCCTGGGGCACACCTCTCGTGACTGAGGCGTCAGCAGAACGATGATACTTTAGAAGACCTGTTTCATCGATGGCAGGGATTGCTACATACTGCTTTCTTCCTTTAAGGTATGATGTGAACCAATCAAGAGCAATGCCTCTAATGCCAGCATCATGCATTTTCCCCAGAAGTAGACCATGGTCAACTAAGTCAAAAGCACGACTCAAGTCAATGAACATGCCAGCCACAGACTGTCCCGAATCAATGTCTTTGACTACTTTATTTATGAGGCTGAGTATGGCCTTTGTTGTGGAACTGTTCTTAACAAAGCCGTACTGTTTTCCAACTAATATATTGTGTTTCTCTAGGAAATCACACAGCCTACTAATTACTGCTTTCTCAAAAACCTTCGAGAACGTCGAAACTAGACTTACAGGCCTGTAGCTATGGCAAGAACTTCTGTCTCCGCTCTTAAAGATTGGCCTTACCAAAGACAATTTTAGCTGGCTAGGAAACTTTCCCTCGGCAAACAAGCTATTTATTATGTGACATATAACGGTGTTGAAATTAAATCTGAGATTGACTTTATTAGTTTTGGTGATATCCCATCTACTCCAGCAGACCGTTTACTCTTAAGGCTTTGTATAATTTTTATTATTTCATCTGGATTAATTGGTCTTAGGAAAAAAGAGCTTGTATTTCTATCTATACTATTGTTTTGGACGTTGTTTGTGACACATAACGGACTTCCAACCGTTTTAATAAAGAATTGATTGAGCTTCTCACAAACATCCTTGGGTTCAGAAACAATGCCACCAAAACTAGTTTTTAAATTAATACTTTCTATACCCCTTTCACCTTTTTTCCGTCTGTTATTATGTATAACTTTCCAGATTCCTTTGGTTCTATTGTCGGATTCCTCGATGATATTTAATACGGCCTTTGATTTCTCTTCTCTTATTATTCTCCTGAATCTTTCTTTTATTCTAAAGTAGTATTGTCTTAAAAAGTGATTCGAATGTAAATGTTTTGTTTTTTTCGTGGTATATGAAACATTGCTCCTTTAAGTGTTTAAGTTCGTCAGACATTTTAATGTGTGAATTGGATTTTTTTATATGTCTTTTTAATTTTTCTGGAAAACATATCTCAAAACAGTACTTAAACTGGCTTATGAAAGCATTGTACTTATTCTCTGTTTTTGTCACTTGGAACACCTCATCCCATTTTTCATTTTTGAGATAGTATTTGAACGTTTCAATATTAGAGGTATTAAAACTCCGTCCATACTTAAACTTGACTTGCCTGTCATTGTTCGATATATTTATGCTCGTTGTTATAGTCTGGGCACTGTGGTCAGACAGTAGTCTTAATAACTTCACTCTTTGTGCCATCATGATCGTTTGTAAATATATGATCAATTAAGGTGCATGATCCTGAGGCTTCTCTTGTATACGAGTGGATAGTGTTGTACAGACCAAATGACGCCATGATCGCAGTAAATTTACTACCAGAAAAGCTGTCAATAGATAGATCAATATTAAAGTCTCCAAGAACAAAAACCTTGTTGTGCTTAGCTGCATATTCATTTAAACAGTCGTTCATAAATTCAAAGGGTGACCTGACGGTGGTCTGTAGCCTGCTACAACAAGTATTTTACTTTTTTTACTAACTTCTACTGACATTGCAGAAAGTTCACACTCGCCTTCTACACTAAACGCTTTACAGTCAAGTGGTCGGTGTTTTATACCAGGAGAGCACCATATTGCCACACCACCCCCATTCATTTTAGTTCTACAAAAAGCAGAGACATAAGTCAAGTTGCCTAAGACTAAATTTTCTATCTCATACTCTTTCAAGAAATGTTCGGACAAACACAGAATATCAGGAATTTCGTCTTTAATAAATATTTCTAGCAGATCTACTTTGTGCATTAGACTCCTAATATTCTGATGTGCTATTTTGAGACAGTTAATCACCTTATCCTTTCTCTGGTTTCCCTGAGGAAGTGTTTCCAAGGAACCCCCACAGGTTTCCGAGCCTCCCCTAAAAAATGTTTGGAGACAAACGTTCGAGTATTGTGGTTGTTACTTTGCTCAGCTATATAAGAACGTACAGGATATGGTTTTATTTGTTTGGAGACTGTCACTGATTCGTGGTTCAGCCAAGGCTTAGGATAGAGTTGACTATTAGAAGGTGTCTGGATGGGGAAAGAGTATTTAGAAAGGTTCATTGAATCTGCCAAGAGGTTTGCCAACATATGCTTGCCCTTAAAATTCAGATGTAGTCCATGTCTGGTGAATGCAAAACGAGGGATGGAACTTAAGGACAGAAAAGTGACGTTATTGTATTTAGATGAAAGACTAAGAAGATCAGAGTTAACTTTATTCACAGATGTATTGAGGGAGGGGTTGTCGTGTCTAGCAGGAAGACCGACGAGGATAACTTTCAGATTAGACATTTTGCCAAGAGTAGTTTCCAAATCTAAGACAAAATCTAAGCTGCAGCGTTCGTTTACAATATTATTTGTCCCCCCCATAATGACGACATAATCACATACATTTGAAGAATATGCTCTTACAGTTTCTAAAATGTTTTCCATCTTACCATTAGGTTTTACCCACTCAGTAATTACACTTTCTGATTTTACATTTTCTCTTAGCAGCCTCGATATGTGGCGCCCGTGACTATCTGAGCACACAACAATCGACACTGGCTTTGGGAGGGTACGGGCTGAGTGAGGGTACAGGGAGCGGAACATTAGCGTGAGTTTGCCCGATGGAGTTTGTTTTGGATGGAAATGGTTTTTTTGATATATCTCCCGTAAGTCAGACCCTTATAAAGTGTGATAGTGTATCTACATGGTAATTTAACCAAGCCAGCTTTTATAAGCATACTGGAAAACAAGAAGAACAGTCCATTATTATTTTTTATTTTTAGTCTGCACCTGTGTAGTGTGTACACTGACACTCTAACCTAACTCTGTTTCTGTTTTCAATTTCAATAATTTCAGTTTCTTCATTCTTATTTCTGTTTCTGTCTGTCGGTTGTAGTGATTGTTTCTGTTATTCATTCATCCATTACGGTTCCGAATTCCGATTTGATATGTGTAATGATTAGTGAATGAAGAAAGCAATATAAATAAAATTAGTAGTGACAAGAAGCAGCAAAAGTGTCTGAATTATTTTGTTGTGATACAGGCTTTGTTAGGCTAGGCCATTCAGAATCAGGCTAGGCCTAGTACAACCAGTGTTAGTTAGGCCAAGCAATATACAAGAGGCAAGATTTTTCCAACACACATTCATCAGATTCGTCTTAATTCTTGATAACTAACTTACGATTAGGTTAGTCTGTGAATCTTCAATTTTATTTGTACCTATGCGTATTAAATAAGTATAAGTTAGATGTTGGCTACTTTAGGTTGTATTATCTTATATTATGTTAGGCCTACTAATATTATAAACTTAGCGAACCTGGCACACATAACCATATGCAATATAGACATTGGAGAAGAAGGATTTGTATTGATCTTTTTTTGTTTGGAGTTTTCGGGTTTCCTGGTGTTGTTGTTAAAGGTGAATATGGTTAAAGGTCTAATAGAGTTTGCAGTTTACGAGCTGTTTTATTTTTTTTTTTTTTGTGAAAGTCAGTATAAGATTTTTTTATTAATTGACAATAAATGATAAACCAAAGCCCCTCGTTCCCACTACCACCCCTGGCCTAAGTCTGGGACTTATTTGTCAGGCGAATTCCCTGTGAAAATCTTCTTTCTTATCAGGCTTGGGCCACTTTCAATCGTCATCCAGACACATTCTGTGTCCGGAACGAGGACGATGTCGATTCCAACCCATGGAGCCTGGGTTACAAACTTAACCAAGAAACTTGGCACCTGCTCTCCACCTTCCGTCATGGACAGGGCCACTATGGAGAGGATAGTCGAGTCCGTTTTAACTTACAGCTCACACGTTGCGCCCACTGCGGGATTTTGGAAGGGTGGATGATGTCCCACTTTTCAGTCTTGAAGAGATGGAGGGGGCCGTCCTATCCCTGAAGAACAATAAGTTAAGGCTCCTGGACCCAATGGGGTACCCGGCGAAGTCCTCAAGGAAGGTTTTTACTATAGTGGAATAGATTACAGAATAGGACTGGAACCAGTTTGAGTCGGGTGGGGTGAGGGCAAGCGGTATCCAATAAGCTTTCAGAAAACTGTCCACTGTTGCCAAGTTGTGCCACGCACACACTCAGTCTTTGCCCGACATTCGACCTGTGCGTTTCGAGCATATCCTCTTGTTTGGTCAAGTAATTGCCTTAAAGTGTGTTAATAATTCGAAACAGGCCAGTCACAAAGCTACAAAATGCATTTTACTCCATTCTACACTCATATTTAGGTTAAAATACGCTCATAGGTGGTGTCCCCATCTCAAATGAATAATTAATTTGGTAGATTGTATCCTCTTCATTTCCAAGTTAATTTTGTTTCATGTATTTAAAACAATAAGCTGAGCAATATTTTAGAGGATTTTTTATTTTATTATTATTATTATTATTTATTTCCAAAAAATACAAATTTACAACACATACAATTCCAAGCCACAAAAGCCAATATGGCTTGTCTGCAGCAATTATTCTAATTTTGTTATTTCACAGTGCTTTTTTTACAATCAGTCTTTGTTACACAATCAGTCTTTTGTTTCCCTTGTTTTTCTGTAAGAATTCAATAATATACCAAACCAATCATAGAATTTAAAGTTGTCAGATTTTAACAATTATTAATAAACAATGAATTAAGTAACAGTAATAAACGAATTTAAAACTATTAAAAAAGTAACAATAATAAACATTTGAAACATTGAACAGTGAATAATCTATTAAAAAAGTAACAATAATAAACATTTGGAACAGTGAACAACAATGATAAGATATGAAACACAGTTATCTTTAACTCAGATCTAGATATAAATTCTTTAACTTCTTCTTTAAAACTCCACAGTAACATATATTCCTCAGCTGTACTGGTAAACTGTTTAACAAGAATGGAACTAAATATTCCCTTGTTCTTTTAGAATATTTATTTGTTGTTCTAGGCACAATAAAGAACATTTGCCTTGAGTTGTAACTATGAACATTAAGGTTTTTGAACTCATCTGAAAAATAATAATCTGTTGTAATTAAAAACTTAAACAGCCCATCAACTGGCAAAACGTTGACCAATTGATAACCTAGCATGGGATTTTCAACCAGATCAGCAGAATCAAGCTTAGTCATTGTTTTGATTATCCTGCTTTGCACGGTTTTTAGTTGCATTATGGCTGTGTTTGATGCTGCTCCCCATGACCTTACACCATATCTAAGCAATGATTCACACAGACTTGAGTAAATCAATTTCATTGTTTTTAGTGGCAGGTATTGTCTTATATGGTAAAACTTAAATAAGCATAATCTTAATTTATCAGTTAGTTGTTTCAAGTGCAAGTCCCATTTCATGTTATGGTCAATTATGATTCCCAGATATTTATAACTTAAAACATACTCCAAATTCATACACTGACACATATTTTCATAGCTCTTCCGATGCAGACAATCGTGTGAATGAAATTTTACTGCTAGCTCTGTGCATTGGTACGAAGGTGAATGAATATGCATAATCTTTGATTTACTGCCATTTATAATCAATCCATTGTCATGGCACCACATTGTCAGCTTCAAAAAATCTGCTTCAATCTTAGTTTTTGCCACGTTTATATTTTTATCGGATATGGCAAGGGCTGTTTTAGAACTGATATACAAATTGTTTGGTCATATAACTTTACTGTTAAATTTATTAATTTTATGTTTATATGTTTTTCAAAAACTGCATCTGGTAGCTGTTTGAGCCATTTTAAAGACGGTTGTGTAGCAAATAATCAAACCATAGTAATGTATGGGATGAATTTTGTGTTCCATACGATATAAAAATATAACAATACTAACCAAAACCACCAAGAACAAATAAATTATTAATTTGTAGTTTGTAGTGTTGAACTGAACTACCCTACAAGTGGGACGATAGAGGGGGTGCCGGGCTCTAGGTGAAAGTCAGCTCACCAGCCAAGAACGAAGTGGCAACGTCGCATCCCCTGACCTCTTCAAAGGCCAGTCCTATTCTGTAATATATTCCACTATAATAACCCCTTGATCCTTTTGAGCATGTACAATGCCTGCCTAGTCGAAGGAGTTTTCCCTTCGTGCTGGAAAGCAGCTAGGCTTGCACTTGTCAGGAAGGGAAAGGGAGATCCAGACCTGCCATCCTCTTACAGACCTCTATGTATGTTGGATCCGGCTGACAAAGTCCTCGAGAAGTTGATGCATTCCCGGCCGAATTCAGCTGTGGTCGCTGCGGGGGACCTGTCCCATCATCAGTATGGATTCAGGATGGGGCGATATACAGTTAACACTATTGAGGAGGTGAAGCAAGCCATGATAAGAGCTAAAGATTTTAACCACTACTCTCGTAGGGTTGTGCTGCTCGTAACACTAGATGTGCGAAACGTATTTAATTCTGTGAGGTGTTGCAATATGCTGGATGCTCTGGAGAACACCTTTCACGTTCCAGCATACCTCATGCGTATCATAGAGGATTATCTCCGGTTCCGCCTCCTCATGTATGACATTACAGAAGGCCCACGGACGATGAGTGTCACTCCCGGTTCTGCCCAAGGTTCTACTCGGCCCAGACCTCTGGAATGTCGCTTATGACAGCCTTATGAGGTCTGAAATGCCTGAGGAAACTGTTTTGGTTGGGTACGCAGACAATGTTGCAGCTTTGATAGCTGCACGTAGCGTTGAGCTGGATATTGACAAAAAAACGGATTGACACCATCGTGCCGTTGAGGGTGAGGGCCGTTGAGGTCCAGACCGTTCGTACTGCCAAGTACCTTGGGGTTATGGTGGACAGAAAGCTTATTTGGTGGGATCAGATCTTCCGTACGGTGGACAAGGCCGCTAAAGTGGTTTCCTCTCTTAATCGGTGATGGCCAATGTCGGAGGGCCTCGGTCCAGTCCTAGAAGGCTGTTAATGTCTTTGGTCCAGTCCACAGGCCTACTCTTGTACGGTGCAGAGGTGTGGGCAGACGCTCTCAATAAGGAGGTAGGCCTATACATGATGCGGCTGCCCAAGTGCAGCGTCAGGAAGCACTAAGAGTAGCATCTGCCTCCTGAACATTGTCTGAACCCGCCCTCCTGGTGGTTAATGATAAATGATTTTACTAGCCATTCAGTATACAATTGCTGGAGTCATTCCCTTCAAACTTTTGGCAGCAGAGAGAAAGGCAATTCATCAGCGCTGTGAGGAGGACCAGGCACAAACAGAGAGACGCACCCGCACCTACCAGCTGTGGCAGGTGAGATGGAAATAGGAGACACGGGGACACTGGACCAGGTGACTGATACAGCAAGTCTTACCTTGGATTAATCGGCGATGCGGAGTGGTGGACTTCTACCAGACCGAATTTCTGACGGGTCACGGCTTTTTCCAATTGTACCTGTTCGGGATCGGCAAAGCCGTCCCACACGATTGCATTTACTGCCCACGCATTCCCGATGACGTGGAACATAACTTTTTCCACTGCCAGCTTTGGGAAAGGCCCCACCTGGAGGCTCAACAGTTAGTAGGGCTGCTGTCGGTGGACACAGTCATAGCCTAGGTACCGATGATGATGAAGAAGATCAAGAAAAATTGTATACTCAAAGAATCTCTATTTTAGTTTACGGTTACCCTACACATTATTGCACTTGCGATTTAAATCCGTTATATAAGGAAAAACGGGTTTAATCCAATTTGGTTTGGATTTGCTTTTGAAACGTGATTGGAAATGATTGCGGTATTTGTAAACAACATTCAATGTAAACATATCAGTGACAGCTAGAGAAAAATAATCTTGATCCCAACAGCTGTTCGCTATTTCATAGATGATTATGTGGTGAACATTGGAAAAAATTGGAGAAAAATCACACAAAATTGGGTTTTTAAATGTCCGTAAGTTTATTTACAAAGTAGTGAGGCCATATTTTAATAGCTAAAGACACTCTCGCCAATCCAGTGAATACATTAAATTGATTTGGAACTTGATGGTACCGGTACCTACTCTCGTTTTTCAGGAAAAGGCAGCGTAAAATGGCTCTTGGGCCGGGACAGACAGACAGAAATTGAGATGAGACTTGTTACGGCTTCTTTAATGTATAAAACAAAAAAATAACCTAACAATTTATGATTCTGAGCAATGTACAGGCAAAACTCTAATTTTATTTATACTAGGTGGCGTTTGCAGAGGCATCCACAAAATTGAGCGGAGTCATCAAGGGTGTA